GACGTGCTCAATTAGTTGGTCGGTTTCAGTGTTACCGCTGTGGGACCTGTATAGGCACGCATAGATGCGGGGATGGTCATTGCAATCTACGCGCAGCCATAGAATGGACAGGTCCGTACCTTCAAGAGTCCCAAGGCGTCGACAGCAGATATCCTCTCTGACATACGCACATACACCGGCACGCGAAACAAAACAATGTTCAAGCTTATACCCCGGGTAGGTCAGGTATGATGTTTCGTTAGGAGGGGATATCTGTGTCTCCGTGAGGAAGAGCAATGCCGGCCGCGCCGTTTCTAGGTGGTGGTGGACAGCGTTCAGGTTTGAATGAATTCCCCTAATATTACAGAGGCTCACATTGAGCAAAGGGGATGCCGCAGAAGTCTTGCTCTGTTTGCCCTTGGTCCCATAGAGCGGAATTTTGCCCCCCCCAGAATACGCCGGGCAGCCCGAGCGTGGTTGCTCGAGGGAGGATTCTCCAGCAACATGGCTGCTGGTACCTCCCTGGGGTACGTTATTTTTTTTAAATTCCACTGCCATGGCATTGAAAGATGGGGGGACGGAGTTGGGGGAGGATTTTAGGATAAGGAAGGGGATGGGTATAGGATGGGCCTCCGGACTCCCTCACTCACCATACGGAATGTGGTCGCACTAAAAGTGCGGCCACTTAGCGTCGGTATTCTGTGAGGGTGTGGTACTTCCCCGGTCGAGCCGGCCCATTCATGCTGCAATACCATATGGTATTACAGCGTGGCTCTACCACCTACTACCTACAAACCTTAAATTTAATTAATGATAGCATATTTTTAAATATTACAATAGACTATAAGTTGTAATGGAGTGAAATATATACTATTTCTAAATTAACTAGTAGTATTAGCTCAGTTGTATATGCAGTTGATAGAATTAGGTAATTAATAGATGTAGCAGCTGTTAAAATTGTTTATTTTAATTATTTCCGTAGCATCGTGTCGTATGGAACTGATGTGAGGCAAAGCGTCTGATATAAATACAATATTTATTTTACAAAAGAGGGCCATTCGTTCTATTTATGGCGTGGGTTCAAGGGAGTCTGCACGTTTCATAGAATCAAACAACCTCACAGTTGCATCTCAAGACATGTGAATATTATGTATGCAACGAAATATATTATATTTTTTTTTAATTTGTGATTGGACTAATAAAGACAATAATCTACTTTAATATTAGCCAAATACCGTCTAATAGAGACTAATTTTTTTCTATAGGAATTATGTCTGTTCTAAATTTTCTTGAAGAAAGGTTTAAATTTTATATAAAACGCGTTCTTTGCAAAAAGGCTTATTATAGATTAGACGAGTTTAAGAGTCATCATCATCTTCCTACCCTTATCCCAATCATTTGGGGTCAGCGTAATATGATTTTATCCATATTACAAAAAGATTTGGTTTATAGTTTATACCGGCCACCTGCCTGACGTCAACCCTCTTTGGGTAATAATAGACGAGTTTAAGATTTACTAATATATATAAAAAAAACTGTTTTATATTATTTTTATAATATTTAATTTGCAAACATTTTTTATAATTTTTAATAGGCATAATATGATTGCTTAGCGGTTTCATTATTTATTACTGCATGACCTTTTGTACCAAATCCCTTTTCAGGATGCCGGTGGACAAGGTAGAGAATGTCATAATGATCGTCAACCTCCTGATGATGAGCATGTGATAAGATGGCACCTTAAGAAGGACCAGACCAAAGAAAGACTTTGTATGAAAGTCGTTTGTTTGGGTACCTCTGTCTCATTCGTGTTTCTACCGTGAAGCAGTTGTGTTTTCATGGCTGTGTTTCGGTTTGAAGGGTGAGATATGGCTTGAATTTACAGGGTACAGAGAAATAACATCTGAGTCCTCAAGAACAGCAACGCATGGTGGGTATCATGGGCGAAACAGTATACTCTGTTATGTCCATGGTACTGCTCATGTCTATAGGCGACGGTTACACACTCTAAGAAACACGAATGGAACAGATGTGCCTAAGCAAACGACTTGTACAAAGTCTTCCTCTAGTAATTGTACAACTAGTGTTGTATCAGTAATAATAACTATTAGGTATCTATTTCGTATTAAACATATAATAAAGGTCATTATATTTCTCATATATATATATGTCATATATATTGTGTCATATATATTTATGTTTAAAATTTTCACCGTGTGTGTTTTATTCGCATCTGAGCGGTATTTCTTTTACAATCCACTACTGGACATCAGTAAAATGTCTTATGATTGAATCAATTATTTGTTTGTTTAAATATAAATTTGGTTTACTTTTACCTCAGTATTTTTTTTTATATAATTACGTAGTCAGTAAATGAATCCATCATCTTTACACGGAACTAAAAGTCAGTCTGACTTCGAAGGTTCATCTTGATAAATTTTAAATTGATACAAATGTTCAAGGCTCCCTTTCAAATGGTAATAAGATGGTAAATATTACACTCGTGCGCGTATCCTTCACATTAGTACCCCCAGATGGTAGCGTTTTTTATCTATTTATATTCCTGAACTAATATTGTAAAGGGAAAAGATATGTTTTTTTTTTTAATGTTTATTTGTTTGTTTGTAATGGATTAAGTTAAAGAACTGTTTTATAGACTGCAAATATTCTTTCATCTGTAAAAAAATAATAATGTAATAAGTAAACAATAATATAATTTACATTTGAACGCTCAACGAAGACTGTTTTTTTTTATGGGTGAAAATGGTATGGTAACCCCGCCTGCGCTAACGGGATACGCTGGCGGAGCACCAGTGAAAGGTGATAGATGAGAATGAAAACAGGCCAGTTAGCCTATCATGATGAATTCATCAGGAATTAACCATGATAGTTTCCAGGGAGAACCGCAAGGAGGTCGACCTGGTTGGGTATATTGCTAGCAATAGGATTCTCAGTCTCTATTACTAACAATCCCTTCCCCCCCCCCCCAACGAAGACTGTTAGGTTAATAAATATGAAAAATTTCACGTGTGTATAAGAAAGTTTTCTTAGAAATACCCACGGGAACAGCTTTGCTTTAAGTGAAGTAACTGAGCTCAAAATGTCTTTAAACTAAGAAAATAAAAGACAGGTTGATAGTTTACATAGAACATCGTTATAAAAAGGGTTGATGTTTATTCCCACGTGAATGGAAGCTAAGGAGACCGCATAGTCACGGAAAGCAGTTTATCCATTATCTACTAATATTATAAATGTAAATGACAATAAAAAGCACTGTTATCGGTTGCTCAACGGCGGAATAGACAATCCTGCAACTCTTAGCCGTTGTTCTTTGTACACACCCCAACGCTGCATGCGATTGCGTGCTTGTCGACTAGTATCGGCACCGCCGGTTCGCACCTGTACTGCTCAGTTTGCTCCCACTTATCAGGCTATTTCTCTACTCAATTCTCTGATTGCTCAGCAGCCAGATATTGATATATTTAATGACAAAACAGATATATTTTTAAAATTTTATACAAAATTTGTAAGTTTGTAAAATAAACCTATGGCTCACTACACGTTTTGGGAGACTGTAAGTGTGGTGAGTAATTTTCAAATGAATAAATAAATAAATAAATAAAAGATGAGAGGACGATTTACCTAAAGGATGGAGAAAGTCAACGAGGGATAGAGTGAAGCGGAAGCAATTGGGGGAGGCAGGCAACCTGACAATACAATGGTTGCTAGAAAGCTAGTTATTAATTAGTTTCTATATTAATTTAATGTTATTGCGAATAAATTGTAGACACTTTGTTTAATAACTATATTATATAAATTTACAATTGTAGTCAGCGAATAAAGGCTATATTATTATTATTTTTTAAATTTCTAGAAAATTCACAATTTTTAAGAAGAGGGGATGGCAAACTAACCCCCGGCAGAAGCACAGTCGGCCGGGGTTCAGGGACCCAGGGAGAGAAACCAGCGTACAATACGGGCAGAATCTAAGAACCAGGTCGAGATATTTTCTCTTTTTCTCGGATTTATTATTATTATATAATTAATATAATAAATCTACGATAAGCTAGCGCAAACTGTCAAGGCGAACAAGTGGTGGAAGCTAAATTTTGCAAGTCCCAACGCTTACAAAGAACTCAAAATCTCTCTGGATTTTATGAACAAACTTGCTTCATCCTCACCTATCATCTTTCAATGGTGCCCCGCCGGTGTATACAGATAGCCTGGGCGGGGTTGCTATACCATTATCACCCATTAAAAAAAACTAGGCAGGAGTAATACCGTACTTGTACCTCTCTGATATCTGTATATATAAAAACCTTTATCTATTATACAGCTGAATGGATTTAAATATGGCACATGAGTTGGTCATACATTAACACAAAGGATACTTTGTACTGGATAGTTCTACTTAGGATACCTCTACTTCTTCTTACTAAAATTTCATCCCAACCATCTGGACGAGTGGCGGTCCTCCATCGTGCGTTTTTCAAGGCACTTTTTTTTTATACAACTTAGAATGGCAAACAAGCTGACGGTCCACCTGATGGAAAGTGGTTACCGTCGCCTAAAGACATGTGCAGTATCATGGACATAACAGAGTATACTGTTTCGCCCATGATACTCCCCATGCGTTGCCATTCCTGAGGACTCAGGTGTTATTCCTCTGTACCCAGTAATTTCACGTCACATCCCACTTTCTTCCACGCACAATCACTCTTTGGAATCAACTTCCAGCAGCAGTATTTCCGAACTGATACGACAACATAACCTTCAAGAAAGGAGCGTATTCCTTTTTAAAAGGCCGGCTGCACACCTGCAATGCCGTTAGTGTTGTGGGTGATCATGGGCGGCGGTAGTCACTTACCACCAGCCGCATGCACGTTTGCCCCCTGTGTTGTAAAAAAGAAACTTTGTATACTAATGCACGCGAGCAAAGTCGCGTGAAACGGCTACTATTTAAATAATGATACATGTTTTTAACAAATTTTTATTTTAATAATTACAATTACACAACAAAAAGAAATATACAAAATGCATAACACCAGCCGAACACACTACGTTTATATTAACAGATCGGTTAATAATTATAACATATTTTATACAACTAGGTAATATATTATAGAATTATTAAAAAAAAGCTCTTAAAAGTTTATACGCCGAGTAACGTTATATCTGACATTCCTATTATTAAAAAAAAAAAATAAGTACAGAGTTTTGGAGCATAATGTTTCCACTATATAGTTGGATATTAAATTGAACAATTATTCATTTTACCATAGTTAAATTCGTGTAGTTTTTTTTTTATTAACTACATTCTTGACTAGATTTGATTAATAATAAAAAAAAAATTAAGAGTTAAACTCTATCGCGTGTGACATTGTACACTGGATATATTTATCGCATTTAATTAATGAGCAATTTTTAATTATTAGCTTTCAAATCTGTTTTCAAACTGAACAAACATGTTGAGTGAGAGGAAATAATGCACTCCGTATTTATCTTTAAATGTCAAAATATATTGCTATTTATTGCTATTTAAAACGCTCACATTGAACAATAATTATATGCTTTGTCAATTTTAATCAATAGTTTTGATTAAAGACTGTCAATTAAAATTCAAAAGCATTAAATAGTAAACAAAACCTCTTTAATGGTATAGTTAAATCTAATATTATTATTATTACAACACATAATACATTCCTGTTAACAATAAACTGTAGTGGAAAGTCTGGTTAGCATGAAATGCTTACAAATTTAAAACGTTCGCCCATACAGTTGAACACGAAATTATATATCTTAATGAAACGTAGCTGGTAAAAGTCGATCATTGATCTACCTAACTAAGATAGTAATATGTTACCAAAAGATATTCAGCACTTGGCTATTGTGTTTTGAAACTCAAAGTTTTAATAAACCGTGCAGCAAAATAAAATTACAAAATATACTCAAGAGATACGATAAACAATTAAACTTATTTATTTCCGAAATCTTTATGAATAATATGCGACTGTTCTCCGAAAACCCATATAAAGAGCCTGATGAGAAAATCTTTAAAAAATTAGGTAAACTTGTAATATTAGAAAAAAATAATGTTGAAAATGCATAGGAAGTCTAATCAATGATGTACGTAGGATTCCAAGAGCTAATAGTAATATAGTTATATCGCAGAGACTGATGGAAATCTAACTTCGGAATTCCTTTTTATAACAACAATCTACAGAGCAGTATATAATGTGACGACTGGTGTTATCTGTCAACAGTTAGATTATTTATTGGCTTGAGCTACCTCTTTTAAGGAAATACACATAAACTTAATCACTATTTGAAATATTCTTGAGTTCGTTTCTTTAACTCCCCATAATCAACAAATGAGTATTCATTGCTTACCATCCGGTGGATTAAAGAATTCCCAATGGTGATGATGTATAGCTCTACTATCACTCAGTCCGAACATTATTAGGCCAGCAACCAAAACCAGGAATATTACCAAGGCCATTTGAACATCTTTCTTGTCTTCAGTTCTATTAATATACGCCATGAAGGTATTAAATATATTCCTTATAGTTCTGCTTATAGAGTTGTGGCAAACTCGTAGGAACTCTGCACCCGCTTCAGTAATTGATGGTTCATTTGTTCGTACAGGAGGCGGCATTCCCCGACTAGAAGAACAAGGTATATCTTCATCTGAACTTGATTCTGTATGTGGAGCAGCTGGTTTTCTCTTTGCCCGTCTTGTTGGCGGTGGAGGCGATTGATGTTGTGTGTCATGATAATCAGTGTACGGTCTCTCTCGGAAAGTCCTTAGGGGATAGTAAGATGCCGGAGGTAATGTCATGTCTTGAAGGTAAGAATATAAAAGAGGTGTTAAGTCTGGTGGTGGAGGCCGTTGTGGAGGTACAGTCGACTCATCTGTACTAGCAGTTCTGGGCGGTGGTGATGGTGATTGTACGTCTTCACTACTTTGAGCTGGTTTGGCTTCCGGTTTTATTTCAGTTTGCGTTTGTGTAAGCAATTTTTCTTCTATTTTTATTTCAGAAGGTTCGTCCGTTTGTGTTTGTTCCTCTCTTATTACAGTTCGAGGATGCTCTACCCGTTCAGTAACCTGAGATGACGGTGGAGCTTGGTTTGTTGAAATTTCTGCAAATTTTTTAACAATTTCGTCGATTACTGTCTGCGAAAATTCAATTCCACTAACAGAAATGTGACCAGATTTGGAATCTAGTTCTGCGACTTGTAATGTCATTCCTTCTATATCCGAAACTAAAATTTTACTTGCCTGAAGTTCAGACACATTAAGTCGACCAACATCTAAATCCTTTACTTGTAATCGTTGTGTTACTAGATTATCTAATTGAACCTCTCTATTAGAATCTCTAATTCTTTCAAGAGCGCGTTCTTCAGATATTTGAGAGATATTTTTAGGACTTGTTGTTGGCGTACCTCTTGACCTTGGCAAGGGTGGCACATCTGGTATTTGCGATTCATCTATATCTATATGTTGTACTGTTAATGATGCTTCAGTCAACATTACATCACGTTCATTAATTCTTGTAGGACTGGAAACGCGTCTTTCTACTAATATGACAGTAGGTGATGTGCGACCTATATTTGATAAGTCAGATATTTTTGGGTCTGAGATTTTTAATGATTTTTCAGAACGCGATGTTGGTCTTGACTCACGTGGGCTCTCAACATGTTTAGTATGAGGTTTACCAATCAGAGACTCCTCATCAACGAAGTCTTTAAGTGAACTAGACATAGATACATCCAGGTTCTCTTCCATACCTAGCTCAAAATCTACGTCATCCGGAAGTGGATCTGTTTGGGTCGATACTTCAATTTCTACCACGTCTTCTGTCTTTGTTTCTTCTTCACCCACATAATTGTGTGATAACTCTGGAAAAAATTCAGTATCAATGTTTGTTTGCTCTTCTGATTCTTCTTTATCCTTTTTCTTACGTTTTGGTCCCCTTGGTGGTCTAGGTGGTGGTGGAAGTGGTCTATCTTTCATTTTGCTTACCACTTCACCGGATTTTAGATCCTTATGTATTTCCTCGAATTGTGGTTCATCAATTTCTACATATTGAGTAAGATCACCACTTACTGATCGCTTTTTAAAACTTTCTAACGTCATTAAACTCGTTGAAGATTTTTTCCTTGGTGGACGATCAGGTATAACAGGTTTAGTAGGACCTACTGTGTAATATTTACGTTCCGAGCTATTACTTTTCCTTCGCCTTACTGGTGGAGTTTTGCTTTTAGATCTACGGTCTGCTTTGCTTGGTGCATAAGGGCCTTTGTCGACGGTAGCATATCCTGGACTTTCATGCCGAACCTCTCTTTCGATATCGACTTCTTCACTCGGTGGTACATGTGTGTCTAGCGTGAGTGACTCAGCACCATGGGAGGTGCGATCGTCATCACACAGAGAAGTACACCGGGAGCTCCTGGATCTATTGCGACGTGGTGGAACAGGACTCTGCTCGGTCGCCGTATTCACATCTTGCGGCACGATGTACTCATGTTCTGTTCGATACACGATTATCTGAAATAACACGAATTGTAATATAATATAAAAACTTTATATCTGAAACACGGCTGAAACTGATGCTATTACTAGTACCTTTAAGTATGTGTAATTTATTCAATGTCAATAGCATTATTCTATTTGCGGCAACGAGTTTATATTTGACCTTAGAGATCTATATATCAGTGAAATAGGCCTGTAATTTAATGTTATTACCTATTTGTGTACCATCTCAAATGTTCAGTATTTTGGAGACTTCTAAACAAGTGTCTAATAATGAAATATTTTCAATCTATCCTAATTTCTGACCTTGTAGAAGAAAAATTACATTTGATCGAGCCAATGATTGGAACAGCAGTAGGGCTTAATTGCTACCTATTGCGATTCATGTCTCGGCGGTTTATTTTATTATTTTTATGACGTGTTGTTTTTTATTGAATTAACGACCTTATGAATAAAGAAGGTGATAATTAAAATGTGAAGCGATAAATGCCTGAATTGATTTTGACCGGCCCCCTGTCGTTTGATTGTGTTTGATGGTATTAGTATTAATATCTATGTCAGTGACAAATAATGCAAGATATTTTTTTTTTATTTTTTTTTTTTTACTTCATTTGCATTATACAATATAGGAAATAAACAAGACAATTTACAAACATAACGATACAATTGTATAAGTACAGTAAGGTGGTCTTATTGCTGAGAGCAATCTTTTCAAGACAACCTTAAGGTAATGGACTAATTGTTGTACAAATATTTTATTCTTAAAAATGGAACATCCTATTCTAAAATATGAGATAGTACAGATTATAAAAGAAATTTTTGATCTTCATACATATATTGTAATAACATAAAATGAAATTTTACTATTTAACATTGGTTAATATACTTGTAGATAGTACTAAATAAAATAATAGAAACACTTAAATTTTTGTTAAAACTACTCATTAACTATTATTAGGGTTTTGTGATTAAACCAGAGTAATAAAAAGAGAGAATTTATTTTTATAAAATGGGTATCAAATGCAGCTCATACATATGTGTGCCTGTCAGTACAGACGCGACGTATTCGAGACACCAAGGTAATAGTGAGCCTATTACCACGGTGTCTCGAATATAGATATTTAAATAGAGGAGATGGATAATGTTGAGTGTTTTGTATAGAAACCGGATGTCGCTGCTCATCTGTCATTTGACACATTTGTCAAACTCAAAACTCGACACAATCCTTCAGTAGGTACCGTAAAACGAGGTGTATAGAATTTGTGGGGTGAATAAAACGGTTTCGAGTATGTTTTTTATTGTTCTGTTAAAACTGATTTTTATGGAGTTCCTTTAAATACTCTTTTAATATATTTGAAAGTTTTTAATCACTTCCACTGCCTTTAAGCTTTTCAAAACTTCAACTGTTAATAATAACTAACATATTATTTAAGCAAGAAATATTTTCAATAAGAATTTATTCTGGACCTAACGTAATGCAATAAGCAAGTGCATTTGTGAAATATTTAAGGAAGATGACTATAATTTGTATAATGTCTCGATTTATTGATTGATTAAAGGTAAATAGAAATGGAAGAGAGTTGAATAGTGCTGTAGTATGGGGCGAACAGATACATGACGCGGGGCTAATAAAAACGGAAAAATAAGAAAAGAGACCAGTAAGAGGTCAGTAGAGAAATTGTGGGTAAGTTATTATTATTATTTTTATATTGGTAAATTTTAAGATTTCTCAATGGAAAACTAATATAAGCGTATAATTTATTACTATGTGTTATTAAATAAAAAATCTCATGAATTGATATGCTCACAGCCTTATCTTTATTGCCTAGAATGTATAAAAACAATTGATATTTTCATAATTGTCTTTCAAATAAAGAAATTCAAATAGTGCATTTCTCTTGTTTTAAACAAGTTAAACTAGTCTCAAACCGTATAATGATTACATTTGATGCTTCATTTTAATTCAGTAATGTAATGAAATTCTTCATTAAGGATCGAGGATATATGCTATTCACCCCGTTGTTTACGGTACCCAATATACAAATATACCGATATCGAATTGTCGATTAATACCAATGTTATCTTATCCCTAAATCGAAGGGTTGTGTCAATTGTGACAGACGAGCGGCGTCATCCGGCTCCCATACAAAACGCTCAACCTTATCCATCCCCTTCCTCTATTTAGATAAATACGTAGATATATTAAATTTTAATACAGTTTACAATTTTTAAAGACACTTACTTTTTATAACACGTACATAACTTCTATGAGTTCCCATTTGTATTGGAAATCATGCTTTGGTATCTACAAGTAAATACATACATAGATATCATGTCAGCCGATAATTGTACATTGTTGAATATGGAAATCCCTCTATTGGGGGGTTTTACTAGTAGTTGCCATATTGACAGCCGGTTTGGCAATCGCATTTGGCAATTTTAAGAGGACGCTGCTGCTCACCTCTCGACCAATAAGTTCCCTTAGTCGCTTCTTACGACACCCGCGGGAAAACAAGGGATAGCCTATTCTATGTCGGGTTTAACATATCTAATTTCCTGGCGTTTCTCATGATAGATGCTTTTAAATAGCTCGAGTTGCTTGTTCGTATTTCATCAGCATCATAAGGAAATAACTATTCGAAAACGCGTATAATTAAGTTTACATGAGTTTAAAAAGTAAAAAAGTGGAAATATATTTCATTCCTATGCCCACCCTGCCAGGGACTTGACGTGATGATATAATTCAATAATGGCTCCCGTCCCATCCGACCTTGTAACTAAAACGTTTATTAACTGACGTCCCATTTTAACTAGGTCAACAGTCGGGTTGTAACCGAAAATAATTCAGTTTCATACAAAAATATGTCAGTTCCGTCGCTGGATACCCGCCAACTTCAATTACTTGCATTGATTCAATTTTATGCTTTTACTGTACAGATAATATTATATGCTTATACTATATTTATTGTTAGACCAGCATCCGGTAAACCACGTCAAAGGCCTTCATCTATATTATTATTATAAGGGGAAATGATTTTATTCTTTGTTTTTAATAAGCAAACCCATTAATTATTCAACTAACTGTATTTATAAAATTCTTTCAAAGTTTTAGAACTCCCTTCTAGCAAGACCCATTTTTTTGGAAACTCTTTCACATTTCGTGCGTCGCAACTGTGGAACAGGGTACCTGCTGACATACGGAATAGTCCTTCCATTACTTCCTTCAAGAGAAGTCTGACACATCTTTTAATCTAATATATATCTTTTAATAATTTTTTTTTTAAGTACATGATAATTCTATGCACTTATACATATGCATATATATTTATCTATTTGCTTATTTACGTATTTATTTATTTATTCACAATAGTGTTTGTTGTATTTACATTATTTTCACCGGTACCTTTCCTGCACTGGATTACCCAAATTAAATTATTTTTTCTCTAACTACACTGTGTTGGCTGGAAGAGATCTCTTTCAGAGATAGGTCCTTCCTTGCTAACAAGTTGTTAAACTAATCGTCGCATATATTGTTTAAGTGCAATAAAGAATATATATAAGCTACATTACTAACTAGTATTATTATATAAAGTTTTTTTTTTATCTAATCTACTCATTGGCAATCTGTTCCTTATAATCCAAAGTGCTGTTTGGATGTCAGGTTTAAATTTTCTTATCATATGATGAGGCAAATCCATTAATCAGCATATTTTTTTTAATGGATGATAATGGAATAGTAACCCCGCCTGCGCTATCGGTATACACCGGCGGGACACCAGTGAAGGATGATAGGTGAGGATGAAGTAGGTCAGTTAGCCCATCGTGACGAATTCAACAAGAATTGTTCACGATGGTTTCCAGGGGGAACCACGTGGAGGTCGACCTAATAAGATATATTGCTAGCAATGGAGCTGTCAAACTCCATTGCTAACAATCTCTTTCCCCCTAATCAGCACATTGTATAATAATGAAATTTAAAGTATCAAAAATTTGTCTGTCAAAACTAATTCATTTTCTATTTCAGAGCTGAGCTCTTGTCGGTGGAGTTCTTGCCACTCACTACGATTTTCAGCGAGCCTCTTTACCTCTTGATACGACACGATACCATTTTATTCCTTGATCTGCCTCATATAACTATGTCTTGGTCCCCTACCCCTCTTTCCTTCTATCTTACCTTCTAACATAAGTTCATCGTGTCGTATCAAGTGTCCTAATATTTTCTTCCCTTCTGACTTCAATAGTTTTTATAATTTGTCTCTTTTTCTTAACCTTAAATGAGACCTCTTCATTACTAATTCGATCTTTCCAAATAAAAGTGAAAGCTAATATAAAATACTAATTTATTCCTTTATCTATTTACTCGTGCAAAACCGGGGCGAGACGCTAGTTATAGACAATACAGTAATAATTCGCATTTTTTTTTTCAATTAAATTAAATCAAACTGAACTCCATTTAAGTAGGCTTATACGAATGTATGACTTGTATAAATGGCAGTCTATGGGGGAAATCTATGTTCAACAGTGGATAGATGATGGATGAGATGATGATGATGATGATACAAAAGTACTTTTTAAATCATCATATCTCCCATGCGTTGCCATTCCTGAGGATTCAGGTGTTATTCCTCTGTACTCAGTAAATTCACACCCTATTGCACCCTTCAAACCGAAACACAGCCATGCAAATACAACTGCTTCACGGTTGAAACGCCAATGGGACAGAGGTACCCAAGCTTTGTTTGTTTGTTTATTACTTTGTACGACTTTTGTACAAAGTAATAAACAAACAAACAAACAAACTCACTTTCACAAAATTATTAAGAATATACATTCTATTTCTGTAATACGAAGTAGTAAACATTATAAAGTTCATAATAATAACCTGTATTAGTCATGTGAGGGCGCCACCCACTGTTCTCGGGTGTTTTCAGGCCGCCTCCTTTGTATATATATATTTTTTAATGGGTGAAAATGGTATGGTAACCCCGCCTGCGCTAACGGGATACGCTGGCGGT